CATTAGCTGAAGAGTTGGTTTTAAATCTGAGATTGGGAGGTAAACCATGTTTTTGATAACAAACTTCTATAGTGTGACCATTCTTCTTACAATGAGTACAGTATCTTTCATTGTAAGACTTGCTAGATCCAGAATAAGAACCTTTTCCTCTTCTTGAGTTAGAATAATTCACAAGCACTTGGTTATCATTTTCTGGTTCTAAACCATATTGTCTTTCATGTTGAACAACCATTGAGAAAGCCTTATTCAGAGAAGGCAAATTATCCTTTAAAAGAATTTGTGACTTCAATGCATTATAATCATCATTCAAGCCTTGTAAGAAACGGATAACATAATCTTCATCTCTATAGCTTTTAATGTCATGCAAAGCAGGACAAGCACACTTAGTTCGACAAGGACAATAAGGAACAGGTATATAATTCTCTAATTCCTCCCAAAGAGTTTTCAAATGTGTAAAATACTCAATGACAGAGAAGTTACCTTGCTTATGACTGAATATCTCATACTGTAACTCAGAGATGCGCACCAAATCACTCCTCAGAATTCTCTTCAAGGCCTTCCAATGTGTGTAGCTTGGATCCTCCATGAATCTGCTCGTTATCCCAACACTCAACATTAAGTCGGGTCTCATGCTTGTAAGGTATCTCAGACTTCCGACTAAGCTTCGAAATCTCCCAGAATTAGCTCGTTCTCCTCCATCAAACTTTGAGAGTTTCGTGCCTGGTTCCATTGGAGTAGAAACCGGGTTGCAATCCTCCATTTTAAACTTCTTTAAGATTTCAAGCGCATACCTTTCTTGGGATATAAAAATCCCTTCATCCGATTGCTTCACTTCTAGGCCAAGAAAATATTTCATCAGGCCTAAGTCTGTCATCTCGAATTCTTTCTTCATTATCTCCTTGAACTCCTTAATCAGTTTTGCATTGCTTCCAGTGAATATGAGGTCGTCGACATAGAGAGCAACTACCATCATATCCTTTTCTGATTTCTTTATGTACAAGGCATGCTCGTACGAACATTGTTCATACCCGTTTTTCTTGAAATACCCATCAATTCTTTCATTCTAGGCACGAGGAGCCTGCTTCAGCCCGTAGAGGGCTTTTCTTAATCTCAGCACCTTCTTTTCATCCCCTCTCTTCATGTATCCGAGTGGTTGCTCGACGTACACCTCCTCCTTCAGCACTCCATTTAGAAAAGCTGAATTCACATCCATCTGTAGAATTGGCCATTGTTTCTGAGCAGCTAACGAGATCAGAAGTCGGATTGACTCCATTCTCGTGACAGGAGCAAATACTTCATCATAGTCAATTCTTTCCTTTTGTCTATAGCCCTTCACAACAAGCCGAGCTTTATAACGGTCAACCTCTCCCTCAGCATTCATCTTCTTTTTGTTCACCCATTTTACTCCAATGGGTCAAGCTCCTTCAGGAAGGTTGGTCAGTTCCCAAGTTTTGTTACAGTCACACAGCGCTTCTAGAAACTGTAGTGTAATCTAGTAGATTCAGTGAGATCTGTGTATTGACAAGAATCCCATAGCCATCAAAGAGCCTAATGTTAAAAGTATTGTTGTTATAACTTATAGTGACTGAAGAGATCAGTTACCACCAAAGCCTATCAAAAGGAATAAATCATCATTGGTACAGTTCTTTGTTGTTGAATATGTATATATTAGTTTAATTTGTCCAAGAGAATGAGACTTCTTTGATCTATGAACACATCTATTTTCCAGAACAGTTTCTCATAAAAATATTTTCAATCATTTGGTGTTTCTGAATTCAGCTGATACATACACGAAATAAGAATATGAAGTTCTTCATTTCCTTTGCTGCTTCTCATACACAGTGCAGTCTCTCCCTATGTGTTTATATTTGTTGAGAGGCTGTGTCCATCGCATGTACAGATATGCTTGCAAGAATGATGCATCCATACTTTCAGTCTTTCATTCTACGCAAAAATAGATTCTTAATGACTGTCTGCTACCTTTTTTTTTCCGTGCTTTCATCAGACATGCCTTGGAGAACTAAGAGAAAGAGTTGCCAGTGGTGGGGATCCAACAAAACTGCGTGAACCACCAGTTATACATGACCTTCCATCTGATGAACATGGTATCTACCTTACACTTTACTACCAAGGTCTCAACATACATTAGTCTCGTTACTGTAATGGATCTGTGGTTATAATTTCAGAGAACATCTAATAGGACACAGAATGTATATTATGTATTGCATGTTATTTTCAGTTAGGAACAGATGAACGTTATCAACTCAAATAGCTGATAGTGTTTAAATTATGTTTAACGAGTACAGCTTAATGACTTAAGTCCTATTTGGATAAACTTCTTTAAAAGCACTTTTAGAAGAGAAAAATATGAAGAAAAAATTAAGTTATTTATTTATTTATTTATTTATTTTTATTTTATAGATTAAAATTAACATAAATTAATTTGTAGAAGTTCTATTTAGTTAGTTTTTCAAAAATCTTATTTTTAACTCTTTGTATAAGCTAATTTTAGCTTACAGAGAAATTTATTTTAATTTTCCTTTCTTAGCCACCTGTGTTGAGTTGTTGACAAATAATTTTTACCGAGGATTTCCTTCTTTTAACTTTCTTCTAGTATATGCATATCTTTTATTTGATAAGACGCAGGCAGGATATTATGTTCAACAATTTGAACCTTGTAGCAAATTGACCAAATCTAGGTCGACTATTAATTTTGACATACTTCGACTGAACTCATTTTAAGTGGGGTAGCCAGCTCTGATTCAATATAATTTACTGGGACATTGCGATGATGATTGCTCAAAAGAATTAATAAGTTAGGTTTTATTTATGGCTGATGTATCTTTTGTAAATCTGTGCTTTAGGATTCGCTGTATCTGCAGAAGATGGAGGAGCAAATCATCAAGAGAGAGACATGTTTACTGAATCTGAAAATGTCAATGACATTCAGGAAGACATGCTTAATGATATTTGTGATAAAGCTACTCAAGTAAGTTTAATTTACTTCAAATAAAAGTCATTTATCATTATGTAATATGTTTTATGTAATTGTGAAAGCACTATCAATATTTATCTAAATCAATCAGGACGAAATATGTAAAATTATCTTTTAAGGATACTGATTCTCACAGATTTGTTAGTAATTTAAATTATCCGGGAAAAAAGGTTAAGCCAAGTTCAGTCATCCTTATCCAGTGGCATGCAGGAGTAAAAAAATAATAGAAAAAGGAAAAAAGTAAGATTGATGTAAGAATGCAATAGTAGTTGGGGTGGGCAAAATGAATTGAACCGAACTAAATTTATAAAAATTATACTGAATTTAAAAGTAGTTCTCATAAATTGAACTAAATTGAATATTAGCTCAAACAAATTGAATTTAACTATTTTTTTGTACCATTGAATTAAACTGTTCTTTCGTGTAATTTAAACAGAGATCACTCAAACACCTGGTGTATATGCATTTTATCTTTCCTTCCCAAGTCTATGGTTTATTCATACTTGTGCCTCTGTATGAAGGCAGATACCATTATCTCTAAGAACTTTGTAAATTTAATAAAATATTTTCAATTATCTTTTTAATGTTATTCTTAGCTTTTCAATTAAACCAAATTGTGAGAGAAATAGTAAACAAGGAGCTTATGTCAAAGCATAACGACAGTATTACCTTCCCCTTTTATTACAGGAACCTTCTGAGTCGATGGACAATGTGGTTGGCACTAGTATGGCTTCAGAAAGTATGGCAATTGAAAAGACATCAGAGGAAGTCCAAAATAATGGATTCAGCCAATCTGTCAAAGCTGAGATAACAGAAGAGCAGAGAGCTCGTATGGAAGCAAATCGGTTGAAGGCACTACAAAAGCGTGCTGCTCTAGCCGGCTTTTCGCAGGCCTCCCAAATTTGATATCAATTGTAAATGAAAACACTCTTTATCGTTGTCTCAGTACCGGTTATGCCCCCCCACCCAAATTAATTATAGTTTATTTTTTGGTTTGGTGAGTCGGTGACAATGTTATATACCCGCTTGTGATCATGATTTGTCATAACAGTAAATGGATTCTTGTCGATTAGCTTCATGTTTAAGTTTTAAGCGGCGGGCCGGGCTTACTTAATTTGTTTGGGGGCACTTTCTCCCTATTTACAGTACTATTTAGAGAGCTTGATCAAGATTGTGTCACGCTGTCAACCCTTGAGAAACAAGCTGGCAATTTACGGACTTATAGACTGTAGAAGTAAACAGTGACATCGCATAATGCTATGTGTAAGTCAAATTGAATATCATCTACTCTCATATATGTATTTGATGAAGTTACAAAGTAGCCGTCGGAAACTTGAAATTGATATGAAAGTAGTTGGTTCCTGTAAAATGTATATTATAAAAATACAGTTGACATTTATTAAAATATTTTTAACCTTCTATAAAAAGTAAAAATTGTATTTTCATAACATTAATATTCGTGTTTATTATTTAGACGTGATACTAAATAAAATCTTGTAGTAAGTAAATATTTTTTTAACAAATTACTTTTAAATTTATTTAAAAACTTTAAAATAATAAATAAATCTCTTTAAAAATATATAGATATAAATTTTTTAAAATGTAATACATTTTAATTTATATTATTTATTAATAATGACATAATTTTTCATTATTATTAATATAGAAAATAATACTTATATATGACTTTAATTACTAATTATTAAATAAATAAATAAAAATTAAATTTACACTATAGTATAAATTATTGATCATAAATTTAAAATGTTTATTTATTTAAATAATAACATTTCATATTTGTATTACACATAATAAAATTAGAGCTGTGAAAATGGGCTCAGCCTGATAAGCTAACCCGGCCCATCACAGGTTCGAGTCGGGTTAGGCTAAAAAAATTTTGAAAATTTCAGTGTAGACCAATTTTAAACCCGGCTCACTAACAACCCGGCTCACCCGGATTAAACCCGTGGTGAGCCGGACTCGCCCACCAACCCATAAACTCATTCTCATTTCTCACACACCCACACTCGTCAGCGCCACAAGCCAGGAGCCTAGGGGCACTTCTTTTCGAACCCGCTCTTCACTCTCGCCGTCTTCACTCTTCATCGGCCTTGCGTGGAATTCCGAGTAGCAGGCGTCGTCGCCAGAAAGTGAACTCGCTGATTTTTCCTCCTTTAGCTTCAGCCTTCAGGTAACATTATATGCTTCTAAACTGATATTTCCTCGCTGTTTGTGGCTGGATCAATTTTTTATAATTGAAAACCTTATCATTAGAAAATTTCAATTTATAGGCTATTCGTTCTCCACCCTAACTTCTATAATAAAATAGTAATTTCTCTCTAATTAAATTATAAGAAGTATCAATGTAAGCCCTTGCAGTAGCATCCCCTGACCTTGGAAGGAGGCAACCTCAACCTCAAATGAATCCCTTCATACCAAAGGTCCGCGCGGCAAACGAAGCTGTGGCGTCGAAGGAGAAGCGAAAGGGGAAGCACGACAAGCCCAAGCCATGGGACGACAACCCCAATATCGACCACTGGAAAATCGACAAGTTCGACCCTTCCTGAAACGAAGGCGGCCTGCTCGAAGTAAGCTCCTTCTCCACTCTCTTCCCTCAGTACCGCGAAAAGTACCTCCAAGAAGCATGGCCGATGGTCAAATCCTCTCTCAAACAATTCGGCGTCGCGTGCGAACTCAATTTGGTAATTAGCTGACTCACTTTTCTTTCCCTTCCTCATTTTTTTTTCAATCGTAAACCTTAATTTCACCTTCGTTCGCAGGTCGAGGGTTCCATGACCGTATCGCCCCAAACTCCTCATCCATGGTTGTTCTCCACTTCTCATCTTGGACAACTTTCTTAAAACTCAAGTCTTCAGTGTCGGCCAGAAGACATACAACATGAACTTCACTTGTAGTGTCATATATTTCCTGCAGACTTCTCATCTTGGGTTGTTGTGGCTCGGATTCTTCATCTGAGAACTCGGTGGTAGTTGTTGTTGAAGGCACAACAATGTCCGAGCTAGTTTCTACTTCAGCCGAGTTACTCCAACACCATTGCTTTGTTTCCTCCACGTGAACATCTCGGCTCACCACCACCTTTTTGTTATCAGGATCAAACAACTTGTATGCTTTGGATTTTTCATCATATCCAATAAATATGTACTTCTTGCTCCGATCTTCTAATTTTGTCATGTGCTGTCTTGGTACTTGCCCATAGGCCACGCTACCGAACACCCTCAGATGAGAAACACTCGGCTTCATGCCACTCCAGATCTCCTGAGGCGTCTTTTCTCCTAGCTTTGCATGTGGACACCTATTTTGCACATAGACTGCACACTGCACCGCCTCTGCCCAAAACTTCTTCGGCATATTCTTCCCTTTTAACATAGATCGAACCATATCAAGAATATTTCGGTTCTTTCGTTCCGCTACACCGTTTTGCTGCGGAGAATATGGGGCAGTCAAGAAACGCTTGATCCCATGTTCCTCGCAGTATTTGTTGAACTCAACAGAAGTGGATTCACCTCCTTTGTCAGATCGGACTGCTTTGATGACTTTACTTGTTTCTTTCTCCACCATCACTTTGAATTTCTTGAAAGTTTCAAACACTTCTAACTTCTCCTTCAAAAAATAAACCCACGTCTTTCTCGAGAAATCATCAATGAAAGAGACGAAATATTTCTTACCACTGAATGATTTTGGAGTTATTGGCCCACTCAAATCGGTATGGATCAGTTCGAGTTGCTCCTTTGCTCGGTACTTAGAACTCCTTGGGAAAGAAGTCCTCGCTTGCTTCCCGATCACACATTCTTCACAAAACCTCTTTTCAAATTCCATTTTAGGCAGTCCAAACACCATCTCCTTTTTCACCAGCTCGGCCAACCCCCCAAAGTGAAGATGACTGAACTGTAGATGCCACTTCATGGCCTCATCCTCCAAATCAAGTTGCATGCATTTATCTTGTACTATTTTCAGCTCAATTTTGTACATGCGATTTCTCTTCATTTCTACCTGAGCAATGAGTCTTCCGAGTTTATCCTTCAGTTGTAGTTCTTGGTCCTTCATCAGAACCGAGTACCCTTTCTCCATTAACTGTCTCATGCTCAGTATGTTGCTTTTGAGATCAGGTACGTAGTATACATCTATGATCTCTCCGATTTTCCCATTTCTCTGTTGATACCAGATCGTTCCTCAGCCTTTGACGGCTACTTTTGATGCATCACCGAAAGAAACAGATCCGAACTCCTCCTTTGAAAGTGTTTTGAATAAACGCTTGTCACCACACATGTGGTTACTTGCGCTGGTATCCAAGTACCAAATTGATTTATCAGAACAGCTCGGTTTGATCTCGGAAGAACAGCTCGGTTTGATCTCTGTTTCTGAAATGGTTGTCACCAGCAGCAATCCTTCATCTTCTTCCTCGGCAAGGAAATTCATTGGTTCCTCCTTTTTCTTCTCGGACCTACAATCTTTGGAAATATGACCCAGATTTCCACAATTGTAGCATTTTATCGAGTAACAATCCTTGGCAACATGTCCATACTTTCCACAGTTATAACATTCAATATTGTTATTTATGTTTGATCGGCCACCCCAGGTTTGACCTCGGCCTCCCCGAGCCTGACCTCGGCCACGCCGAGCCTGTTGGCTGACATGCTCATTACCTCGTCCTCCTCTTCCCCGACCACCTAGGCCTCTGCCTCTACCTCGGCCTCTAGTACTCTGGGCATAGAGCACCTTCTCCTCTTTTATTGTTGCCTTTGCCTGGAGAGCCTGTTCAAGGGACTCCCATTCTTATTCTTCCTTCTCTGCTCATGCGCTTCTAGTGGCCCAGCAAGCTCTTCTAGAGTAAGCATTGATAGGTCCTTGGACTCCTCTATTGCGCACACAATATTCTCGAACTCATTTGTCAATGACCTTAGAATCTTTTCAACAACTCGATTTGATGAAAGACTCTAACCATTCTGATTCAGCTTGTTCACCACGGTCTCCACGCGAGTAATGAACTCGGATACGTTTTCAGATTCTTTCATCCTCATGTTTTCCAGCTCGCCCCTAAGGGTTTGAAGCCGGACTTGCTTTACTCGTTCGTCTCCTTTGTTCACCTTTTCGAGTATGTCCCATGCTACTTTGGAAGATTTTGCGTTGGCTATCTTCTCAAAACCAGATTTGTCGACGGCTCGGTATAGCAGATACAGAGCCGCCTTGTCTTTAGCTCGAGCGACCTTCAACGCGTTCAGCTGGGCATTTGAATATCCTTCTGTGTTCGCCGGTTCCTCATACCCAGTCTTGACCACATCCCAGTTATCTTGGGAGCCAAGAAGGGCCTCCATCTGCACCTTCCAGTTATCATAGTTGGCGCCTTTCGTCAATTTGGGTAGCGGGATACCATTGGTTAGACCTGCCATTTTTCTCTCTCTCTTGGCCAGCGCACACCGCGGCGTTCTCACTTGAGGTTTGTAGGTTCTCTCACGCTCACCTCACACACACAAGCTCTGATGCCAATTTGTTAACAAAAAATAAGGCATAAAATTGGGAGCAATAAACTCTCTGTTTCTTCTCATTCATCTTTCAAGTAAAATGTTACATTTATTTATAGCAGAAAGGAAAAAAAACGTTTGCATATTCATATGCCACCCATAATAAAAACCATTTATTCTAGGAATACCAAGCAAAATAAAACTCCTAATTTAAGTTTTATAACAATTAATAAAATAAGACAGTAATATTGAGCAATATACGAATTTGTAAATATCTCCAGTAGAATTAGCTCACTTAATCCCCTTTTAACAGATAATAGCCATATTATATATATGGACAGAAATTTGATATTCAGATTGCTGTATATATTAGAATTAATTGAGAATTGGCAAAATTAAAACAAATTAACAATTTCTTGGGTTGCACTCTCATTCAGCAGCAGATTCCTACTTCAAAATGGAATTTCTACAAAATAACAAAATGGAAAATCTTTACAATCAAAGAAAAGGCCTTCTTTACACTTCTCCCTATCTAATCTGTCTCAGTCTCCATTAGAATGATTTACAAATAATTCAAGTGAGAGGTAACGTTTATGAACTCATCCTCCTGGCATGGAATTGTAAGACCACCAGTTGGATGATCATATCCGAATTCTTCCTGTGCTTGACTAAGTAACTCTTGAAATGAAGGTTGGTTTAAGTATGATATTCCGATCTGTAACTCGGATTCTTCATCTGAGAACTCGGTGGTAGTTGTTGTTGAAGGCACAACAATGTCCGAGCTAGTTTCTACTTCAGCCGAGTTACTCCAACACCATTGCTTTGTTTCCTCCACGTGAACATCTCGGCTCACCACCACCTTTTTGTTATCAGGATCAAACAACTTGTATGCTTTGGATTTTTCATCATATCCAATAAATATGTACTTCTTGCTCCGATCTTCTAATTTTGTCATGTGCTGTCTTGGTACTTGCCCATAGGCCACGCTACCGAACACCCGTCGGGAAGTAAATCTAAAAAGCAAAAGTCTTAGCACAATCTTCATTTTGGAGATGGAAGATGAGCATGATCTTTAGTAACCAATGTCTTTGCAGGAACAGTTTTGACACTAATGTATGAGGCTTTGTTGTTCTTTCCATTTGTCATGGAGCTGAGATGAGTGCGTGGCATCGTGTATCTTAGTAGTACTTGCTAATAGACTATAACATGTACATATCTGGTACTCAAAAAAACATTGCCCGACACACACACACAAAACTATTGGCTTCATGAGTTGATGCAATCTAAGGGTCTTACTATTTATTTTATTTTTTTTTAAGAAACAAGGATATGAAAATATAATCAATATTTATGTTAAACGATATCATTTATCCTGTGATTAATATGTATGTGCACGTGTCTTAATTTTTTAAATATATAGCTAAATACCACTTTGTAAATTTGTGATGATGAGGAAGAAAAAGAAAGGTTAAAAACCTCTTTTCGTTCCTTATAATATTTAATAGTTTCAATTTAGTCCTACTTTAATTTTTGGTTTCAATTTAGTTTCCAATAATTAAAATTGTTTCAATTTGGGACTTCTGTCCAAATGATTTAAACGGTATTAACTTTTGTTGACGTGGCGGCCACTTGGATGCCGATGTGGATTAACCATGGGCAGTGGGATGTCTATGTGAATTGATCATTGTCACGTGGAAAAATTAAAAAAATTAAAAAAGTCATAATTTCATTTAATTGATACTTTAATTTCTCACGTGTTTGGAAGAAGGTATTTTGCTTTAGGGTTTCGCGAGAGAGAAGAGAGAAGATAGAACTCGATTGGTTCACAGGAGTGTAAGGTATTGGAAGAAGAAGAAGGTGCATGCATTGGCGATTGATTTGAAGCCCAGGAAAACACGACCACACTGGAAACTATGAAAAAGTTTAACTCTTTCAAATTGCTTCAGCACAAGCAATTTATGTTATGATTTTCTGTTGTTTATACAAACTGCGGTGTTTTAGTAACCCCTGCGGTGTTTTAGAATATCATGCTATAAAATTGCGAGAGTATCACGACTGTGATTATCGACCACGCCCATGATGCTCACGGCCTCAATGATGTGAATTCCATGTTATAAATTAACGCAAGAATCACGGTGGTGATTAGTAATCACGCCCGTGATTCATCCCAGTAGCCTCAATGATGTGAATTCCATGTTATAAATCAACGCAAGAATCACGGTAGTGATTACTAATCACGCCCGTGATTCATCCCAGCAGCAATAAAATATTAGAATAAAATATTATTATAATTTAAACAATTTGTATATAAATTAAGATATTACGTA